CAGGCGCCCCAGTCCTGCACCTTTTGAGTGGATTTTGTTACCCAGTAGGATGGAGAGGAGGCCTGTGTTATGGACCCTTCCTGCTTGTCGTGTTATCTGGAAGTTCTGTGCTTGAGCTGCTCATCTGTCAACATGCCCTTCCCTCCCGCCCACTCACACATCCTGGCACTGCATTCTGTTTCTAGAAATCAGCACTGAGGCTCATTTTCTATCTCCTCCCCCGAGCCCTGACTTTATACCAGAGCATCCGTTGGATTTCTGTGTTTGAGCTTAGAATATCTTGGCCTTCATTTAAAAAAGGACATTTCTTGGGGCTCCTGGCTGGTTCAGTCAGTAGAGCATGACACTTGATCTTGGGGTCGTGAGTTCCAGCCCCAAGTTGGGCATAGAGCCTACTTAAATAAAAAAAAAATTTTTTTTAATGACTTTTTTTTTTTTAAAGATTTTATTTATTTATTTGACAGAGAGAGACACAGCGAGAGAGGGAACACAAGCAGGGGGAGTGGGAGAGCGAGAAGCAGGCTCCCCACTGAGCAGGGAGCCCGATTCGGGGCTCGATCCCAGGACCCTGGGATCATGACCTGAGCCGAAGGCAGACGCTTAACGACTGAGCCACCCAGGCGCCCCTTAATGACATTTTTTTAATTGCTTGTCTTCCCTGTTCCTGGCTCTGTCATTCTGCTAATTTGTCCCATATTCGCTAGGTTGGTCATTAATGACTTGAGTTTATCAGCTTTAGAGTGTTAACTTCAAAATTTTTATGTGAACTCCTGTGTCCATTTCCATTGTAGGGAGCTCCCTTTTCCCCAGGAAGGCAAGTTTCACTAATTCTTTGCTCATTATTTTAGAACCAAATGAACCAAAGGCAGACTTTGATTTTCTATATTCCATGGTTCTGGCCCATCTCTTTGGAGTGTGTAAAGGTGCCTGGCAGGCTTAGAGTGCTCTCTAAGAGATTGCTATTTCAATTTGCAGAATCCCTACACACCCTGGGATGTCCACCCGCTGGGTGTGGACTTCGGGTCCCTGTAAAAATGATTCGAATTCTTAGAGAAGGACTAGCCTGCTTCAGTGGGGTCCTCTGGTGTGGTTCTCCCCAAATCCAAACTGAAGCTCTTCTTTGAAATGGTGTTGGTGGCTTCCTGGGAGGCTTCTTGAAGACTTACTCTCAAAGCTTCTGAGCTTGGTTTCTTTTGATAATTAAAATTACTATAATCACCTTGAAAACTAAGCCGTAGTGAGCTCTTTGGAAATCTCTTCTCGGGGCGCCTGGATGGCTCCGTTGGTTACGCATCTGCCTTCGGCTTAGGTCATGATCCCAGAGACACCCAGGAGACCCAGGACACCCAGGACTGAACCCAGTCTGCTTCTCCCTACTCTCCTCACCCCGCTTGTGCTCGCGCTCTCTCTCTCTCAAATAAATAAAATCTTCGGGGGGAAAAAAAAATCTCTTCTCTGTGTCAGTCGTCCTCCTATCTGGGTTGCTGACTGTAAGACCATGGTGAGCTCATAATGTGTTCTTGTGGATGTAGTTCAGTCCCTGGCAGCTCCCTGAAAATGATTCTTCTTTCTTTTAACTTCCCTTTGTTATTCATCTATCTCTATGCTTGCTGTACAAGTTGAAACAGGATTGTTGCTCAGTAGCTGCGTGTGCAAATTCAAGGCGGTACAAGGATCATGAAATTCGCTCTCTGGGTTTAGTGTGGGTCTTGGAGTTTGTCAGGCACATATGTTGATGAGAACAAGAGTTCAGTCTAAGATCCTTCCACAAAAGTGGGGTCCCCGATGGCTGCTCAGAAGTGGCTCCACTGAAGAGAGAGAAAGGCAGGAAGGTAGTTTCTTAGTGATTTCCTTGTGAAGATTTCTGAAGTTGGAGAAAGTAATTTCTTCTATTTTCCTTATGTGAAAATGTGTTTAGTATGTATCCAAAAGGTTGATACACAACAGTTCTTTGCCTTGACCTTTTTTTATCCATAGAATTTTTTTTGAGTATTTTTTTATGGTAATTCATACACAGGAACCACGTAACTCATTCCATAAGCTGAGGTGAAGGACTTGTACATTGTATCAATGGTGGGGCACTGCTTTGTTTCCTAACATCAACCAGTTTTTAAATTTTATAATGCTCCGTATAATCTTGAGACTGAAGTGAGAATATGTCTGGAATTTAAAAACCACATAGAGTTGTTATAGGCTACAAATAGGCCTGTAGATGATAACATTGAATTACTAAGTGGAAAAAATTTTCTTCAGGCCATAAATGACTTCCTGGTTCCTGTACTTTGCCATGGCCTTGGGGGTTTTGCAGAGCATCTGGTTTTAAGGAGTTTACCTTATTCCCCCTCTAAGAATGTTATTGGTCTTCCTTTCATGGTATGCCTTCTGTGTCCCATTAAGATAATATCTAGGAGGTGCACTTGGACTAAAGTAACCTCCAGCCTTTACTGGATCTCCCTGACTTCATAGTCTGTCTCCCTGCGTTGGGTACAGGCAGTTATTCCAGGGCGGGGCGAAGGAAGAGTGAATGAGCTAGCCAGGAACTGAGGGTTATGGGCCTACGGAAAAGTTGGGCTTGATGATACCTTCCCGGGTAAGAGGCTGCTGTCACTGTAGGCTTTCTAGCATGAGAGGGACACACTTTCTAGTACGGAAAGCCTTTTCACAGAGCTGAGTCCCACAGCTGACAGGAGCTTACGATGATGCAGAAAGATGGCAAAGTCAGGGAGATCCAGCACAGGGTGGAGGTAACTTTAGTCCAAGTGTAAGGTCATGAAGTCTGGACGCCAGCGCTCCTCCCAGGCCTAGGAATAGGTACCTCTCCCATAGGAAATGGCAGCTCATGGCTGCAGATTCCTTCTCCCTACACAGTACCACTTGCTATGAGAGAATAATTAATATTCATAATCACCCCAAGACATTTTAAGGCCAGGTACGCTTTGTGAATTATAAAATAAAGCTTAAATGGAATTTATCGTAATGGTATGGAAAATGCATTATTTATACTATTTTAATTCTTTGAAAATTGGTTATCTAGAATATACAGCTAAAACCCTGCACTTTTAGCGGATCCTGCAGATTAGGGTTCACTGTATTCTCAGGTGGGACTACTCATTTTGACTTTTTAATGGAAGATTTCCAGGGAAGATGGCAGAGTAACTTTAGGCATTACTTTCAGGCTAACAATTCCAAAATCAGTTTAGACATGACAGAAACTGACTGTAGTTGACCCTTGAACAGCATGGGTTTGAGCTGCACAGGTCTACTTATATGTGAACTTTTAACAACACAGCACTATAAATGTTATTTTCCTTAGGTTTTCCTTGATAATATTGTTTCTAGCTTACTTTACTTGAAGAATATAGTGTATAATACAACTAGAAAATCTGTGTTAATCGGCATGTTATAGGTAAGGCCTCATCAACAGTAGGCTATTAATAGCTAATTTTGGGAGAGTCAGAAGTTGTATGCAGATTTTCAACTGTTGGGGGGAGGTCAGGGACCCCAGCCCCTGTGTTGTTCAAGGGTCAAATGCCCAACCATAATTAGGAAAGCTAAGCTGCAAGGGGAACCTTAAAATTCATCAATAAAATAAAGGAAACCCAATACAAAGGTAAAATAAAGGAAACCCAGAAATCAACAAGAATTGGGAGAAGACATTAGGGAGCAAATGAATGGAAAATGTGAAAGAAACACAGTATAATATGATTTGTGGGGCGCCTGGGTGGCTCAGTCGTTAAGCGTCTGCCTTCGGCTCAGGTCATGATCCCAGGGTCCTGGGATCGAGTCCCACATCGGGCTCCCTGCTCGGCAGGAAGCCTGCTTCTCGCTCTCCCACTCCCCCTGCTTGTGTTCCTGCTCTCGCTGTCTCTCTCTCTGTCAAATAAATAAATAAAATCTAAAAAAATAAAAAAATAAAAAAAATATGATTTGTGTCTCAGTAAAGATGTTGAGAGACCTCAGAAAACAATAATAAAAGGCTGTAGGAGACGTTCAGATGTGGCTACGAGACTGTTTTTTTTTTTTTTTAAAGATTTTATTTATTTATTTGAGACAGAGAGAATGAGAGACAGAGAGCATGAGAGGGAGGAGGGTCAGAGGGAGAAGCAGACTCCCCGCCGAGCAGGGAGCCCGATGCGGGACTCGATCCCGGGACTCCAGGATCATGACCTGAGCCGAAGGCAGTCGCTTAACCGACTGAGCCACCCAGGCACCCCGAGACTGTTTTTTGCTGCATTCGTGGGGTGTGTCATGCAGAGGGCCTCTCCCCTTTACTGGGCTCACAGGCATGTTTCATGTAGTTGCTTTGTGGCAGGAGTGGGTGGGTGCTTCACTGTTCTTTTCCCCAGACCCCAGGTACTGGGTTTTGCCCGTGGTGATCACCCAGTCTGAGCCAGCTGACAGTCGCCCTAGGTCCTGCAGGCTTGATTTCGGCAGTGCTCACGACTGTTTCACTAGCTTGGACACAGTTCGCAGCAATGTGAAACTGCCTTTTTCCTCCTTCCTTCCTCCCTTTGCAGTACTGCCTTGAGCTTTAGATCCAGCTGGGGAATTTCACTAAACGTGATGCACTGGGAGAGTGAGAGTGGGGATGAGGAAGGGTGTCCAAAAAGACCGCTTTGGGCTGTCATCATTTTAAATTCAGGGCTCTAAGGAAGTGTTGGTGGTACGAATGCCCTGTTAACAATTATCATTTGCCTTTGGTTACAGCACTCTAGCAATCTGAAGAAAATAAACATCAAATAAAAGCAAGAATTGAAAAGGTCCTTCCAAACAAATAGGACATTTCTGGCACAGGCCCCCTCTCCCACCCAACACTCACCCCCCAGAGCTGGTGGGAGTGAGGAGAGCTGCATTTGCTGGGACCTGGATTCTCTAGTCGTCTTCTGAAGCCAACAGGCCTGATTAAGGAAGATCTGGCTCCACAGAAAGCTCTTTGTCAGTGTAGCTCAAAACGGATGATTTTTTAAAAACCCTGCATCAGTATTTACTTTGTCTTACAGTGGTTTGAGTCCAGCCAATGACACTGGAGCCAAAAAGAAGAAAAAGAAACAAAAAAAGAAGAAAGAGAAAGGCAGTGAGACAGATTCAGCCCAGGATCAGCCTGTGAAGGTAACAAGGAGGCTCTGTTTTCGTGTGACTGAGAGTTGCTTTTTCAGAGGAGAGAGTTTGGGGGTCAATGTATAGGAACAATTCAGATTGACCCTCTCCACTGGTATTACTTCAAGATGGAGGAGTTGGATCCCTCTGCTGCCCTCTGCTGCCCTAGACCTAGGTGATGAAACTGCTCTCGGTACCTTAAGAGCCACAGCAGGTTAGACACTGTCTCCTGAGCATGTGGCCCCCTCCGTACACGCAGGTACAGGGATGCATGTGGTGCTCTGTGGGGTGCCTGAGAGCGATCCCGCCGGACGGCCCCTGCTGCCTAGAGCAGTGGTTCTCCGTCCTTCCTGCCTTGAGTCCCTGCCACTGGGAGAAGAAAAGGCCTGCTCTTTTTAAGGCCACCCTTTATGTATTGCAAGCATTCTCTGATTGCCGTAGTCCTTGTGCTGGAAACCGCAGGTCCCACAGAGTGCACTGCTGAGCTCCACAGCTGAGAACCACTGGCCTAGACCAGACGACCTAAGACTGACACACTGACCCGAAACCCGGAAGTATGGGGGGGGATTGGTTTGTTTTGTAAATAAAACAACATTTAACAAAGAAAACCTTTTCTTTCAGGTTAAGTGCTGCCCCCTTCAGAGTAGACCCCAGGAGAAGCTTGAACATACAATCCCTCTCTTAGAATTACCTCTAGAACAGTGTCTAAGCCTCACAAGAAATCCAGTCTCACTCCAGTGTACCCACACTTGGTTTTATGCCACAAATGTTGTACTCCAGCTTGAATCTCCTACCTTGTTGAGAAATGGCTTCAAGTGATTTTTTCCTGTTCTCAATATTAAATCCCCTATGGGGAAAAAAAAAATAAAACCAAACACCATTATTGACCACCATGTTGGCCAGGTTCTTGCCAGGCACTTCATTTAAATTAATCCTAAATGGGGCGCCTGGGTGGCTCAGATGGTTAAGCATCTGCCTTCGGCTCGGGTCATGATCCCAGGGTCCTGGGATCGAGCCCCATGTTCAGCTCCTGGCTCAGCAGGGAGCCTGCTTCTCCCTCTGCCTCTCCCCCTGCTCGTGCTCTCTCTCTCTCTTTGTCTCGAATGAATCAATAAAATCTTTAAAAAAAATAAAAATAAATAAATTAATCCTAAACCTTCAACATCCCTACCAGGGAGGTGGGGGTCTTCTTCATTTTAAAGATGCGAGCAGTGGGGTGCCTACCTGGCTCAGGTGGTAGAGCATGCAACTCTTTTTTTTTTTCTTTTTTAAGATTTTATTTATTTATTTGAGAGAGCACGTGTGCACACAAGCGGGGGAAGGGGCAGAGGAAGAAGGAGAAGCAGATACCCTGCTGAGCAGGGAGCTCATCCTGGGGCTCGAGCCCAGGACTCAATCCCAGCACTCCGGGATTATAACCTGAGCTGAAGGCAGACACTTAACCGACTAAGCCACCTAAAGGCCATGAGCATGCAACTTTGGTCTAGGAGTTGAGAGTTTGAGCCCCACGTTGGACATAGAGCCTACTTAAAAAAAAATAAAGATGAGAGCAGTGCTCAGCCAGGTCGTTGGGCCAGGGATTCTAGCCCAAGCCCATGCTTTGGCTTTAGAGACTTTTATTTGTTTCATGAGTTTGTCTGGGGGTGGGTGTTTGGAAGACTCTACGGGTATTTGAGCTCCAGCGTGTGTCAGAATGGTTCACTTTGGAATTAGAAACATTTAACAAAATACCATTTACATAGCCTCCCTTTCCCTCTTTGTGAGAGGGGTACAGTTCATTGTCAAGAATTTAGGAAGAACCTAACAAGAGGAAGAAAAAAATCGCTTGTCCTACCTCCCAGGAATAAGCAATGTAAACATGTTAGTTTATGTTCTCCTTGTCCTTCTGAATCTAAATTTAAAAAATGGTATAGTAAAAATACCAGAAGAAATTATGAGTATTTTTATATAATCGTAAGCCTGACATAAGACCTGGAAGTCATAAAAGAAAAATTGACAAATTTAAATAATCTCTGTAGAAGTTAAAAAGATAAACAACAGACTGGGAAGATATTTGCAGTATTTGAACCAATCAATTTAAAATCATGAAATGAGTAGGCAGTTTACACAATTAAAAATACATGTTCAATCAGTGTATGAAAAGATAGTTAAATTACAATGAAAAAAATTAAAATTAATATATTTTTTTCCTCCTAGATTGGTAGAGTTTAAGATTTGGTAAATCTAATGATGAGGGTCAGGAGAAACACGTGCTCACTGGGTTATTAATTCATATTAAATGAACACACTGTTCATTGGATTATTAACTGATATTCTCTTTTTAGAGAGCAAATTGACAATATATATTACAGTTTCAAATGTGCATATCCTTTGACCCAGAAAATCTCTTTCTTAGACTTTATGTGGCAGGAATGCATATCCCAATGAGCAAAAATAGATGTACAAGAAAGTTCATTATGGCATTTTTTGTAAAGCTGAAGAACAAAATCACGAAAATGCCCATCAGCGAGGGACTTGCAAAATATATTGTGCTCTATCCACAAAGTGGACTCAGTTCGAATGAGCAGGTCTGCATGTCCACATGGAAGGGTCTCTAAGACATAGTGTTTTTTATTTTTTTTAAGATTTTATTTATTTATTTGTCAGAGAAAGAGCACAAGCAGGGGGAGTGGCAGGCAGAGGGAGAGGGCAAGAGCACTGAGCAAGGAGCCCAATGTGGGACTCGATCCCAGGACCCTGGGATCATGACCTGAGCCAAAGGCAGCCGCTTAACCGACTGAGCCACCCAGGCATCCCTAAGACTTAGTGTTTAAGGAAGAACAGCATGTAGAATAATACCATATGACCAATTCTAGTTTTTTGGAAAATTGTGCGTGTGTGTGCTTGAAGCTTGCATGCAAAAAAGTGTGAAATTATATTTGCCTCTTCTCACCCTACACCTCCTAAATTAAGACTGTTGATAAGGATTATATTTAAGGGGCGGGCTTGTTGGGTGTTTACTTTCTATATGTAGTATATATTTCTGCATTGTTTGAAATTTTACACTGAGCATGTATTCCTTTTGCCACCAAACATCATGAGACTAAGAAGGAGAAACCCCGTAGGAAGCACCCACCTTTCAGAGAGCCCATCGCCAACCACTCTTTCTCTGGTTGTCATATGACATCTGACCTCTGGGTTTGGGATGGAGGAACCATACCCATTCCTTGAGTTGCACCCCTTAACGCTTACACTTGTGATTAATCAAAAGTGCTTATTAACATAATGAGCCTTTTCTCTCCCCAACTTTATCTCATCCAGATGAACTCTTTGCCAGCCGAGAGGATCCAGGAAATACAGAAGGCCATTGAACTGTTCTCAGTGGGTCAGGGGCCTGCCAAAACCATGGAGGAGGCTAGCAAGCGAAGCTACCAGTTCTGGGACACGCAGCCTGTCCCCAAACTGGGTATGTATGTGCTTTCTTCCCCAGGGGATGGGGAAGGATGTGTCTTAGCTGTGCTTTGGGTGCCACACCGAATTTGTGGGGGGAGGGTGGTAGAGTCCTGGCGTTCCTTGGTGGTTATTTTTAGAGGGTGGTCTTAAAAATGCTGTATAGAAAACACTAATGCTCAGGGACCTACTGGTTCACAGGAGTACATATTGAGAACAAGTACTGATTCCTTTAGTCCATCATCATCTACTATAAAGCTACAAAGAAAAACAGTATTTTGGCACAGGCCGAGTGGGGTTGTGTGCTCACGGGTCTGTCTTCCTACAGATATTTTGTAGAGAGACCATCTTGTTTATCGGGCAGATGTCTGGCCCTGGGGTGGGCCGAGTCCCCAGCCCTTTCCCCTTTTTTTTTTTTTTTTAAAGATTTTATTTTATTTATTTGAAAGAGAGAGGGCGCAAGCAGAGGGGAGGAGCAGAGGGAGAAGGCTGCTGAGCAGGGAGCCCGATGTGGGGCTTGATCCCAGGACCCTGAGATCATGACCTGAGCTAAAGGCAGACGCTTAACCAACTGAGCCACCCAGGCGCCCCCCTCAGCCCTTTCCCTTTGTCTCTCAGCCAGTGCATGCTTCCCAACTACACGTAACTTGACATTTTGCCTAACAGTGATGGCTCAACCCCGGGAATGCCTTGTGCAGGTCTGGTTGGCACCCTTTAAAAAAGCTATACTGAGGGCGCCTGGGTGGCTCAGTTGGTTGAGCG